CTATTATCTCTCCTCTAATATATTATCACGTTTGGAATGTTAGTTTAATAATCACAATTACTTTCAAATTACAATCCTCAAAACTTGGAGATTAGTATTCATGCATACCATGTCGATTATGAAAAAAAGAGAAGAATTTTAAGGTGCAACAAGCAGTTTAAAGTTTAAAGTTTAAAGGCTCTTCATAATTAAGCTGACATGTATCAAATAACAGACAAATCTGATTAAAAAATGATAAATAAATAAAGTAAAAAGGCAAAATGATGAAAGGACAGCATGGACTGGGCAATAAAGTGAACAGAAGAAAAGGAGGAAGATGGGAAAAGAAGAAGGTAAAACTGAAAAAGGAGCACAAAAGTATCTGAAAATACAGAGCTTACAGAGCATCCAACCACTGGAAGCAGTAGCTAAAAATGTAAACAGACACATAAATAAATAAGTGATAAATTTCGTATGTAAATAGATAAAAAATAGAAATAACTTAAAAAATAAATAAATAAAAAGACTGGCTGACTCACTATCCTCAGTCACCTCTCTGCCTTTGATAGACAATCATATTCTACAGAAAGCACTCTGGCTTCATACTATGGTTGAATCAAATATACCATAATCTTGCTATCATAAACTTTCAGTGTAAGTTTTACACTTATAAGTGGCTTAACCCATTGGATCTGGTTGCGTCACAGCAATCAAATCACCAAAAATCCAGACATAAGGCTTACGTGAGTGGCTCTGCTGCAGTGACAAGACTCTATGCCTCCTATTTGCAAAGTTATTTACTCTTTTTACTCATCAGTGTTTTTAGATTTTTGGCTATTTTCCAATGCCTATATTTGTCATTTGATTTGCATTATCCAGATGGTAATTTTTTTTTTCTTTGCACAGACCCCAAAAATAAAACTATGTAACACTATGTTACTTTTGTCATTTTTAACATTTTTACATAACATGCCTGCATCACCACTCACAGCATTAGGAATACCATGCTGAGCATGGAAATGGTGCCCTCCATGGAGCCATTGCTCTTCCAGTCACTGCTCGTGGACATTTCATTCCACACTCATACATTAATGGGAATAATGCAAAATCACCAAATGAGTAAAATAAACCTCCCAATAGGTTTGTACACTTGTGGCGAGTCTTTTCCATCATCTTGGCCTTCAGCCGCAACGTTCACAAAAGCCAGATTTTCCCATCAAGGGGATGCTCACGTCACCTGCTTCTAGACCCGGATTTTTTCATGACGTGATGGTCACGTCATCTAAATTCAAGGGGTTAAGGAAAAAACTAAAAAAATAAATAAATAAATAAATAAATAAAAAATAAATAAAATTAATTAATTAATTAATAATAATAATAATAATAATAATAATAATAATAATAATATAATAATAATAATAATAATAATAATAATAATAATAATAATAATAATAATAATTTATCATGTGATACTGACTTTCTGAAGTGTTAAATTTATAGAATACTGATTTTTTTTCTTTAACATACTGTCAAGGATTTTGAGTAGCATCATATAAAGTACTACTTAAAAATAAGTAAAATATCAAGTTAGAACATTTCTTTGTAAATATTAATTCTCATTCTCAGCAATATGCTGAATCAAACAAATATCATGGTATCAAGATATTCAGTTAAATCTTTCTTAGACAGAAATGCATCAACTCTGAAAGAAGAAGTAACAGCCTCTTCTGGGTTATTCAAACAAGTACCAAAAACATGGATTAAAACTAATTTTACAGTGACTTGCATTTACAGTTCTCTTATGATACTTGATATATAATTCATACAGTTACAGACATTTCATCTTGGTTATTTAAGAGTTACTGAAGTATTCTGTATCTGACAAATATCCTGTAGTGATGACATCTACAACATACACCAATCCTCTGAAAGCAAATGTTTATCTAAGGTTTCCTTTTTGGCACTGCAATGGAATCTGTATCAATAACAAATTAAAGCTATCCACTTTATGTAAATATAATGACATATACCTTATGAAACCTTGAGAAAACAGAAAGATAAATGCTGAAGTCAAAGAGAGCTCTGTGTAACATCATCAACACTTCCAGCACTTTTGGTAAAGTCATTCTCCTCTGCTTCCAAGTTCTGCTGTCTTGGGATCCATATCCGAGCTGCTTCTCTGAAAACAACAATAAGAAATGTGATTCATCGAGTTATCTTACAGATATTCAGATCAAAATGCATGGACACCTATATATATTCACAAAACCAATCAAACAACCTCTACTTCAGCTTATGTGGATTCTCTGCCACTGCCAACAAGATGCCAAATTGTAAATATATCTAAATGAAGCACTCATGGAATAAAAAGCATATATTTTGTATCTGCCCACCATCATGTGTACTAGCGGATATATATAAGGTACATCTGCAAGGAACTTACAAGGAACACTCCTTCTGATGTTGAATCTTTCAGAGAAATTGTTTCAAGTTTACACATATAAGATCTAAATACTAACAATAAAAGGAAAATTTCTGATCAATTCACCTGAGAAGGTTCTTATGTGCAGTGGCTGCCTGGTACCACAAAACTAGTCCAACAATTGCTGACCATGTGCGCAAGGGGCCCAGGAGGAGTGCCATTGTGCCATATGCCAACCAGAAGAAGTAAGCTGAGATCATCTGAAAAAGTAAAGTAACACCAATTAGGCATTTCATTTCCAATGAAATACCTAGTTTGCTATTAAGATGGCAATATAACTACAAGTAAAATCATATGCTTTCTCAAAGAACTATTTTCTATCTAAAATAGCCTATAAATTCACATGATCATCAGAATCTCTTACAGACTCAAGTGAAAAAGGGTACAATTAGACAATTTTTTCAGCAACATGCTGGAAATGTATTCTTTTGTTTTTTTCATATACCAATTATATATTTCAATAACTACATTTTCAGTTTTAATTATTTTCATCAAGTCACACTACCACTAATTAATACTTATTGTCAATTCTACAGCTCACACTATCAAGTACCATTGCAAAAATGCTACTTTTACACCTCCATGATTTAGGACACACTATACAATAATAATATGAAAAGAACAAGACAAATTTCAACATTATATTATTTCATAAACCAAACCTTACAAGCTATAGGTTTCAGTAAATTATAAAATTACTGATTGTTTAGCCGATAAACATACAATACTTTCTACAAAAGTTACAGGAAGAAAGGCTAACAAAATTAAGAGAGAGATGAAGACATTTCCTGAGATCTACTAGCTATTCAATCCTGTACATATTTAAACATGTCCTCCCATGTATGAAAGAATGTTAAAATAGCCTATAAATTCACATGATCATCAGAATCTCTTACAGACTCAAGTGAAAAAGGGTACAATTAGACAATTTTTCAGCAACATGCTGGAAATATATTCTTTTGTTTTTTTCATATACCAATTATATATTTCAATAACTACATTTTCAGTTTTAATTATTTTCATCAAGTCACACTACCACTAATTAATACTTATTGTCAATTCTACAGCTCACACTATCAGTACCATTGCAAAAATGCTACTTTTACACCTCCATGATTTAGGACACACTATACAATAATAATATGAAAAGAACAAGACAAATTTCAACATTATATTATTTCATAAACCAAACCTTACAAGCTATAGGTTTCAGTAAATTATAAAATTACTGATTGTTTAGCCGATAAACATACAATACTTTCTACAAAAAGTTACAGGAAGAAAGGCTAACAAAATTAAGAGAGAGATGAAGACATTTCCTGAGATCTACTAGCTATTCAAATCCTGTACATATTAAACATGTCCTCCCATGTATGAAAGAATGTTAATGCTTGGAAAATTAAGAGAACCTCCTAAGGAATTTATTGTATGATTTATCTCAGCAACCACATCAGAATGGAACTGTATTAAAGTTGCTTCTCAAACAAAAATCTAAAAATAGTCCTACCTGACTTGTAATAATTATCAGCAAACAAATATGTCGCCAGAGGTACTGAGGGAAGCTACAGATGGGACTAATGTACAGTGACCGGAATCTGAAAAAATCAAATACATATATAAGTATAAACTGTGATGTAAAAAGCACATTCTGTATCTTACTATGTGTGCACAAGTATGAATGATAATAATTATAATTCCCTGCTGAACCAAAGCTCAGTTTCCCAATATCTCAATTACATGAAACCCACACCAAAAAAGTTCTACATTCATTTAAAGATATAGAAATCTTCAATGATTTTCAAAACATGGGATGATAATCCTGACCATTTTTGAAAGTAATTTTTAGTAATAAGAAAAGGGTAACAAAACTAAATAAGAATGAAGTTTTGAAAAAACATTACCGATACTGATATTTTCCACATTTCTTCATGGTGACACTCCTAATTATTTGTAAGTAATGACCATCTTCAAAGATGGAATTTAAAATACTAGCTCTTAGCTCTGCATATTTTTCACCTACTCTCCAAAGCCAGATCTATACTCAAATTCAACACATCCATTGCATAAAATATCTGTTAACATAAGAGCATGTATCTCCTGTTTAGTTTGGATGAGGTACATCTACAATGTACAATATCATAAGCTATTAGAATAGGCAACAACTGTCAAAAAATGGACTTATCTAATAGAGACTTTTCCTCATTATGTGCAAGGTGTTCTAACAACCAATGTAATTTACCTTAGATCAATGCAATGGGAAACTGCCATAATGAGTGGTACTTGAAAGACCACCATCTGAAATGAACAATAAAAATAAATCTTGATAAAACTTCTCATTCTGAATGACATAAATCATAAGTATTTCTTAATAACTAGGCACGTAACATGTTCATTAACAATCCCTGATAATAGTGCCTTACCTGAAAAAATCCATAGGCATAAGTGAGAGACCCAGGTAGGTAACTTCTGTTGACAAAGGTCCCCCATGCAAATACCACACCAATATGGTCTTCAATTACTTCCCCAACAAACCAGGGTCCTGTAAGGAATGTGTATATGAATATATATTGTATGCAAACCAAATAAGTAATATGATAACATTTATACAGTATACCATACAGAATTAAAACATGTGTTCAACCATCTTCCAGATAACAAAATATGCAAAATACTGTCTATGCTTTTGCATCATTGTGAATTCTGTGTTCCAATATTTTGAGTATAGACCCTCTAAACCAGGACTAAGTTTTAAGTAGGAAAACAAACTATCAAGTCATCAGGAGATATCCTTCAGATCCATAACTGACACCTCTATATAATCAACTGTAAGTTCTCTCTATTGTTCACAGAACCAGACCCAAAAGAAAAGTTTAAATTACTAAACAATCTCAGAGTCCAAACTGCCAGCCCCTTTCCCTTCAATTTTTTCTCACAATGTACTTAGTATCATAAAGTAAGGCAGGCACCATTGGAATCACAATCTGAAATTAGGAAATGTAAGTCAACCTACTTTCCTTACAATTATTTTGCAATTATCTACCTAGTCTCTGTACTTCTAAAAGTCAATAATTCATGAAATAGAAAAAACAGAGTTCTCTATATTTATATAACAATACTACCATAATACCAAAAATGTACAAATTATTGAAATTTTATTAACTCATTGCCGACGGGCATGTCACATACGTCCAAGGCATGCTCAATGTGAGTTCACTTGTTTATTTGTTTTTACACATAGATGGCTACATTCGTACTAAGTCACCAATGAGCCAATTACAAGTACTGCCTGTCTCACCCGTTTACCCTTTTCTTCAATTTACGAAAATATTTTACGTTTTCTGATTTTGCTATTACTAATGTTTAAAACATTAAGGTAATTATAATGTTTATAATAAAAATAACACCACTGATATTCATAGCACTAGTAAAAAATACATTTTCCTGCCAATTCAAGGTGAAATCAGGTAAGGCAAAGAACTAGCAGTGTCATCTATGTGTAGAGACATTTCACAAAAAATATAAAAAATGATCACAGCATTTTCCACATTTTTTATTCATTTTCCATAGCGGTAATGGGTTAAGGAAAAAATATCAGTTAATAAAAAAATATATATATTCATTGTGCTTAAATTCCATACCTGAATCTGTAAACACAAATCACATAGTGCAAAGCTGGTAATTTTAATGATGTGATTTCTTCAGCAAATGAATGAATAAAAAAAAAGTATCCTCATCATCCATTTCTCAGCCATTTTTTTCTATGATAAGATGTTCCTGTCATTGAACCCGAGGCGAATTTTTTTCATGACAAGACCCAGATCCAGTAAGTTAATTATCAACATACTTAACTTCTTTTCTTAAAAGTGTGAATGATCATTTGATATCACTGTAGACAAAAGGAAACAGTACTGTGAAATTCCCCTACAGATCATGGAATGTTGTACTGTCATAAATGATCCACGTTTTTTTTTATAATATACAAGCTTTTGGATGCAGCTAATAAAAAATATCTGTTAGTCCCACATAAATCAAAGTGATTTCACATTTTTTGTGAATAAACAAAATTTATCAATCAAAGATCTGAACTTTTATGAATTTGGCATACTTGTGTGCTTCTTATAACATATAAGATTTTCAAATGTATTCACATAAAAAGAGGTTGTGTATCAAAGTAATTATTCAAATATTTAAACAATTCCTATTACTCATAAAGGGCAATTGGATAAGAAACTTTGATAATGGAAGGGAAATAAGCTTAGGTAACTTTGGTGAACTTGGTGGTGTTGCCAATCATTTAAAAAAAAATTGTTGATCAAGGAGATAGAGCATGCAAAAAGTCCTTCAGTGAAGCTGGTGCTTATGCAACTAATGTCAATGATAATGGTGGTGAAAGTAACTAAAATAAAGCCTATGGTCCAACTGTTTTACTACAGGATGTGGAAGGCTCACTAGTGTTATAGGCACTTTTCATTAGAATAAATAGGTAATCAAAGTGTTTTTAAGAAATCACTTTTATGGACTTCATTCTTGATTGCTACAGGCTATGTTTTCTTGAGCAAAATTTGAACTGTACTAACACTGACTGTATTGAATTTTGTTCATTCCAAAAAATATCACATAAATCTAAATATGGAGCAAAGCTGAAGTGGTATCTCTAATATATAAGCAATATCATTTGTCAATGAAATACATGGATTTAACAATGAATTAATAACAGGAAGAGGGAAGGTATCACATTCTCTCAATCCACAAATAGCAAATTCTCAACAGGACTCAATCAGTATATTTAAGTATTGCATATACAATGGGAAGATATCAAAATTCACAAGAATATTTTGCTAAGATTTCCCTCTAAATCCCAAATGATTTTCCTTCTACATATTCCACAAAGTGTAAGATAATACTTTACATTCTTTGGAATTATCAAAAGACTTCTTGGATAACTGATGTCAGCCTATATCAGACATAAAAAATCAAACTATGAAAAGCTAAACTATACTAAATAAAGCTGTTACTATGTTATGCTGTAACTCTCTCACTCATGGAAATGTGGTAGATATTATAGTAATGTTCAAGATTATATGAAGTTCTTTTACACATTACAGAAACATTGTTGTCTGCTTTCTAACCTAAAACTGCAAAGTACGCAGGGCAAAGTTCCTCAGTAATAATTTTATTATTTTCTATAAGATCGAAATGAAAAATGCTCACTACTGTCAAAATATACTGTTCCTATTCCTTCACTGTTTTTGTAACACTCATCTTGAAATGGAAGTCAAGAGTATCCAATGGCTAGATCACCATACTGAGTGAAGTTAACCCACTAGATCCGACTGCGTCACGGCAATCAAATCACAAAAAATCCAAGCATTAGGCTTATGTGAGCGGCCACTCTGCCAGGTGGCCATTTTCCAATTTCCATATTTGCCATTTGATTTGCATTGTCCAGATGGTAATAGTTTTTTTTCTTTGCACAGAATCCAATCATCTCTCAAGGTTGTCTACAATTCAGTGCAAGAAAAATAAAACTATGTAACACTATGTTACATTTGTCTTTTTTTTTTCTTTCTTTCTTTTTTACATAATATTCAGCTTTACATAATATTCTGCATTGCCACTCACAGTGCTAGGAATAAGATGCTAAGCATGGAAATGGTGTCCTGCATGAAGCCAGTGCTCTTCCAGTCACCACTCATAGACATTTCATTCCACACTCATACGTCGATGGGAATAATGCAAAATCGCCAAATGAGTAAAATGAGGTTTGTGCATCTTTTCCATCACCTTGGCCTTCAGCCGCAAACACTCGCAACAGCAGTTCACATAACCCAGCCTACAGCCAGATTTTCCTGTGATGGCATATTCATATCACCCACCCCTCGACCTGGATTTTTTAATGAGGTGATTGTCATGTCACCCTGATCCAACAGGTTAAGTATTAAAAATAATAATAATATAATAATAATAATAATATAATAATAATAACAATATAATAATAATAACAATATAATAATAATAACAATGATACAATATTAATAATAACAATGATATAATAATAATAATAATATAATAATAATAATATAATAATAATAATAATATAATAATAATAATATAATAATAATAATATAATAATAATAATATAATAATAATAATAATATAATAATAATAATATAATAATAATAATATAATAATAATAATATAATAATAATAATATAATAATAATAATATAATAATAATAATAATATAATAATAATAATATAATAATAATAATAATATAATAATAATAATAATAACACCAACAACAATACTCATAACAAACTTAAATATAATAATAATAATATAATAATAATAATAATAATAATATAATAATAATAATATAATAATAATAATAATAATAATATAATAATAATAATAATATAATAATAATAATATAATAATAATAATATAATAATAATAATATAATAATAATAATAATATAATAATAATAATATAATAATAATAATATAATAATAATAATATAATAATAATAATATAATAATAATAATAATATAATAATAATAATATAATAATAATAATATAATAATAATAATATAATAATAATAATATAATAATAATAATATAATAATAATAATATAATAATAATAATAATATAATAATAATAATATAATAATAATAATATAATAATAATAATATAATAATAATAATAATAATAATAATAATAATAACACCAACAACAATACTCATAACAAACTTAAATATAATAATAATAATAATAATAATATAATAATAATAATAATATAATAATAATAATATAATAATAATAATAATAATAATATAATAATAATAATAATAATAATATAATAATAATAATAATAATATAATAATAATAATATAATAATAATAATAATAATAATATAATAATAATAATATAATAATAATAATAATAATATAATAATAATAATAATAATATAATAATAATAATATAATAATAATAATATAATAATAATAATAATAATAATAATAATAATATAATAATAATAATAATATAATAATAATAATATAATAATAATAATATAATAATAATAATAATAATAATAATATAATAATAATAATAATATAATAATAATAATAATAATATAATAATAATAATATAATAATAATAATAATATAATAATAATAATAATAATAATAATATAATAATAATAATATAATAATAATAATAATATAATAATAATAATATAATAATAATAATATAATAATAATAATATAATAATAATAATAATAATATAATAATAATAATAATATAATAATAATAATATAATAATAATAATAATAATAATATAATAATAATAATATAATAATAATAATAATAATAATAATATAATAATAATAATATAATAATAATAATATAATAATAATAATAATATAATAATAATAATAATAATAATAATAATATAATAATAATAATATAATAATAATAATAATATAATAATAATAATATAATAATAATAATAATAATAATAATAATATAATAATAATAATATAATAATAATAATATAATAATAATAATATAATAATAATAATAATAATAATAATAATAATAATAAAATAACAATAATAATAATAATAATAATAATAACAATAATAATAATAATAATAATAATAATAATAATAATAATAACACCAACAACAATACTCATAACAAACTTAAATATGATAATAAAAAAATGCAATGATAATAATAATGTTAATATTCTAAATAATAATAGTAAAAGTAATAGTCATAATAACATTAATAACCAAAAAATTAAAAGAATAAGAACAATGACTAATGGTTAGAAGAAATAAATGTGCTACACATCAAAGGCACTATGGTAAAGTACTGTGGTGGAAAGGGTAGAAATAAGTCAATATTCAGGATAAGATGTGTTAGATGTCAAAGGTTGTAGAAGGGGAAGGAGGTGAATTATCGGGAAGAATGTCAGGAGGGGAGGGCTCTGGAGATAGACACAAGGAAGTCAAGTGAGCATCTAGGTGGAAGTGGTAAAGATAATGAGGAAAGAAGAGGGAAGGGTGATGCACATGGAGTAAAGGATGGGGTGTTTTTTTTTGGGGTGAGTGGGAGGAAGAGGATGGATACTGGCAGATATTTTGAATGTAGAGTGATAAGGAATAAAGAGATTAGAGGGTGGATGAGGGAGTGGATCATTCTCTTGAGTCTTGCTTATGAACTTTTGGATGTCTTCAAGAGTTTCTGGAGGAAAGTTGGGTGGGAGGTCTGAGAAACAAAGTATTTCTTATGTGGAGGAAAAGAGGGAATAGATGTCCAAGGAGTAGAGGGAGATGTAAGCGTAAGAGAGGATGGAGTGGAATATTCAGATCATCTGGTGCGACAGGTAGAGTGAGAAGGAGGAGGGGTAGGCACCAAGGAAGTCAAGCAAGGAATCAGATGGAGGGGGAATAAGAACAATAACAACAATAACAACAACAACAACAATAATAATAATAATAATAATAATAATAATAATAATAATAATAATAATAATAATAATAATAACAACTATAATAATACTAATAGTTATAATAATAACAATAACTACAATAATAATGATAGCTATAACTTAATCTAATTTTTTAACCAATTTTACTTTACCTCTACCTATGTGACTAGAGTCTTGAAACATCACTTAGCTTGCATTATTTTTTTTGGAAATGACAATAAACATCTACTGAGAGATATTTATAGTCAATTACCGTTTTTACTCTGTCATAAGAGTTTGAACTTCTAAGCAATGGCAATGTTACAGTTACATATGTATGTTTAGAAAATCAGAGTGAATATCTAAAATAGTTGAAGAAAGAAATATCAAATAAAAAAAATAATAAAATAAAAAAGTGTCCTCTCTTTGGTGATAATCTACAAAAAAAAAAAAAAAAAAAAAAGTTCACACTTTACTGTTCCTGATCTTTTGTTACCCTTTACAGTTGATAAGAATTATTAGCCTGCAAAATTCTGACTCTCATGAAGTGAAGTCATACATGATTAACCCAATGCTGCAGGGTAATCACACTGCCTATTGCTTTCTTTTGTGAAATTTGTTTGCACATAGAGGGCCCCACAAGTGTTCAGCCAATTAGAAGCCTGCATGATCATAGTTTATTTTCCCTTTCCTTGAGTTCCTGGGATTATATTATTCATGCTATTATTGTTGTTGACATGAAGATTATTATACGATGGATGGAAAATTCATAAATAACTTTTATTTCATAAGAATAATAATAAGGACTGTAACAGTCCATGACTAATGTATGGACATATATACTTTGTTATGACCCATGTTAACATTTAAATCTTAATAAAATAAACTAAGTAATAACAGTTTTTAGCAAAATAATCCTGGGAAGCCAGGTATGTATCTTTGTTGGCGTTGAAGAAGGGTAAATTTTTAAAATGCTAATACAATTTATATTATCCCTTCTTTATTGGAAACTGTATTTTTTCAGAGAAAAACTATGAATATAAATGATGTGTCTGCAACAGTTTTGTGTAAGAACTAGAACTGTATGTAACATGATAAATTTTCTAACAAGTGAATGTATGTGGCCACAAAGTTTAAGGATTTTCATAATATTCATGTCATATTCCCAGAGTAAATTCTTTGACCCGATGCTGATGGGCCACACTTATTAGCGTCATAACAAACCACTGCGGAGTATGCATAGAGCGGGACATTCAGCTTGATGTAGCAGACTCCTGCGCCCAGTGTCTGCCAATTGCCAGAAATCTCCAGAGTTTATAATTCTCAGGGATTTTTCATCCATCATAGGCAGACTCGCTTAACATTCATTTTATATCCCTAAGTAAATTTTTTAGGGAAGATAACTACAAGGAAGTAGGCAGTTCTCTAAATCTGGGATCAATATTGTTATTCTATTTATTATTTAGTCTATTACAAGACTTTTGCAGTACACAGTCAGCAGCATACAGTATTATAACTTGCACAGATACCATTTAATCTCGAGATTAATCTCTTAACCTCTTGGATCCAGGTGCTTCACTGTCCGAATGTGGCCCAAAATCTGACTTGAGTGACCCACCCACGCACAACCATGTGCAGTCTCAAGACTCCTTGCCTCCCCTTTGCGATGTTATCTCATTTTTTGCTTAAGCATTTTTAACTTTTCTGCCATTTTCCAAAGTCTACATTTGTCATTTGTTATGCTGTATCCAAATGGCAATAGGCTGTTTTCCTTGAACAGACTCCATATCATCTCTCTAGGCAGTTCATAATGTGGTGCAATAATTAAGAATGACAAAAATAAAAAAAATGTTACTTATTGTTAAATAAGTAACATTTTTTTTTATTTTTGTCATTCTTAATTCTTTTCTTAATATTTGTCTGTAACATAGCCTGCGTTGCCAGTCACAGCAGGCAGAAACAGGATCATGTCCATGGAAATAGTGTCCTCCATAGAGCTGTCACTTTTCTAGTCATGGTTCACAGATGGTACATTCCACACTCCTTACAGATAGGAATAATGCAAGTGTCCCTTCCTAAAAGCCCACTGAGTCTAATCACCCTCCCAGAGATTTGTGCACTCATGGCAAGTCATTCCCATCACCCCAGCCTTCAGCCAAAAGTCTCACAGTGGCATGTTCCTTTCATCCTGACCACTTGGCCAAAATTTTTCATAATGTGATGAGTACATCATCTGGATCCAAAGAGTTAACATTCTGATTGCCAAAAGTCTCACAGTGGCATGTTCCTTTCATCCTGACCACTTGGCCAAAATTTTTCATAATGTGATGAGTACATCATCTGGATCCAAAGAGTTAACATTCTGATTGCACAAATTTTTTAATCATTCATATTGCAATGAACTTTTTTAAAAAGTGTTCCATAGTTTGATCATTTTACATTTCTCTTCTATTTGATAACCCATTCCAAATATATTTTGTTAATGATAAGATATGAGAGTTTTGTAAAGCTACTGTCAGTATATCTATTTGTTCTAAAACATTTTGACCAAAACTTAACTCTTATTACAGAGACATTCCAAACAGAATAGATGAAAGTGAGAAATACGGAAAACAAGCAAAATTAGTATGACTGAAACTTAAAAGGATAAAAGAGAAAAAACTTACCTAGTGGCAAGTATATGGCTGTTAGGATTAGAGGCCAAAAGAGTCTGTCCACTGACACCATCACCCACAGCTTTCGTAATATCGTGTTGCAAATAGACCATTTAAGACGTGGTCGTACCATCCGACGTTCTGAAATGCAAGGAAAAGATATAGTTCAGAGGCTTAAAAATCACAGGATTATATGTCTATAGTATATTCATATCAAGCAATATGCACGGACAAAAAGGATATTACATATTTAGTTTCCAATATAATTGATGTTAAAATACATCCTCCTTGAAGTTATTAATAAATCATGCAATATTTACATTTCAATTGAAACAGAACTTAAAAGATACATCAGCTTACCAAGAACTAAATGATGTATGTATCGAAGTATACAAAGAGGAATCACACATATGCACACCATGATACCAAACAGGAATTGGAACTGTAAACATAGGAAAAAGTAAATTATGAAATGACAATATCCTCATAACAGACATCATTCTTTTTTTTTGCTCTGTAAGTAAATCAACAGAATAATTTAAAATACAGAACTGACTATTAATTGAAAGCAGTAAATCAAAAAGATGTCAGATGCACCTAACAGTAAATCTGGCACAAAGTAAAAACATAAGACTAGAACTATTATCTACTTTATCTTATAGCATCAACATATACAGCATAAAATCTTAACTATACTATAGAGCAAGCAAAGGTAACAAAATAAAACAAACCTATTGCAAAGCTAATTAATTTATCTCTTTAAATTTCATTCCAAACAGCTTTAAAAGGAGACATTATCTTTGAAGCAAAACTTACAAACATTGAGACATTTGACATCAAGAGAGCTCTGGGCCAAAAACGAAATGATGGTCGAGATTCATCAAGAGAAAATGGCTGGGTAACTGTTCCTTCCCGTCCATCTCTGTCTCTTACATGAACCTGAAATGAAGTTGTATTGTTAATTGAAGTGGATATTAATTACATATGAAAAACAATAAAATGTAACTCATTTCTGTAAAGCGATATGCATTTCATAATGCTTAACCCATATCCGCCAGGCCACACCTATAGCCGTCATAACAAACTAACCCATCACACTATAGGCACCGCGAAGCGCTAGAGCAAGTTAAATGGAAAGTTCCACTACATGTAGCAGACTCCTGGGCCAAACAGTAGGATGGTTGCCAAAAATCACTGGAGTCAGTGACAGAGATTTCTGATACAGTCATTGACAGGTTAAAGAAAAAGATTGTGCCTTAACAAAATACACTTCAAAATCACCTTTGTCTTTTAATGATTTAATTTTACACTGCTCCACTTACATATCAATTTGTCTGAAATGATTTTAAATAATTGACTGAGAGACTGGTTCTAAGATCCCCCTCCAAATGTTGTATTTTTCACATACCATTCATATCCACTGATATAATTTCATATACCTATTGCAATGTAAGTATTATCTAAATATATGCTTTAGTGCATTGTTTACGAAATAATGACAAAAAAGGTCTTTGCATGTTCAGTACAGATGTTACTTTTGTAATCCTAATTACAGAGTAAATGTCAGTAACAATATAATAGCTGCCTGTTTTATTCATACTTATTGATCTTACACTTCAGGGAGCCCCATACCACTTTTCAAAAGATCTATGAAACAAAACAGCACTTTATGTAAGTATATATCAAACAAAAGAAACTTCATATTCAAACATCAAGTGCTGGAGAGACAGAAACTGTGAGATGGTTGGCGGCTACAGCTATGCTGTGCAACATAGTGCAACTTTACTATCTGGGACTACCAGTATTTTTCATATATTTATCTTTAGATGGTTGAACCCACGGAGAATAAGTTGCTCTGGTCTTGTGTATAGTTCTCTGAAAGATACTCCAGTGAATCTCCAATACTTGTCATTTCTAACTTTCCTACTTTTAGCATTACCTTTTGGATACACATTAGTTTTGCATTGCTAAGCCAGCATTTGCCAAACCTGCCACAGCCCTTACACAGCAGTTTAGCCAAAGTATCAGCCTAAAAGGATTGTTGGTGCATAAAATTTTCTTAGGAAAATTTTCCAATCCTACTTTCTCCTTTTGATACGTTTGACCAGCAATGTCATGAGATCCTTTTTAGTGAGGACATCATAGTTGAAATATCTATACAAATACTTAATATGAGGATGCAATAAATGTCTTAAATGTCTTAAGTAAAATTGGTTATATCTTCTTATACGTTCTAGGATGATCACTATGATTTTAGTTTATAAATGTGTTTAGACACAGAAGGCTCCATAAATGTTCAGTCACCAGGGAGTCCATTACTAAAACTACTTATCTCACCTATTAACCCTTTTTCTTTTAGGAAGATTTTTTTTTTCCCTATTATCATCCAAATAATATTACAATAATCATAATGTTAATAATAATATTAACAGTATGATTATCAGTAACATTAAACTATTTTTTTAATTCCAAATTCAAGGAATGGGGAGGTCATGTAGGGCCTACTAATTAACACCACGGTGGCAATGCCCTGTGTCCAACATAATTCAACCAAAAACTACAGTGGACAGTACATATACTCACAACCAATGGTAAACAAAAAACAAATTAACATGGTTACAACAATATCAATCAAACTTCTTACCACAAGTGAATGTATTCCATCTGCATATCTCTCAGCATTCCATTTAGTTACATACAATGGTCCTTCTACATGGGAAAGTACAAGCCACGACTGGGACTCATCCAGTCTAACTCTAGCCTCTACAATGGGAGCTAGTGACCAAATCAGCACCCTGTTGAACCAAAACGAATATATGTTAAAATAATCCATTATAATAATGGACACCTCATGCCAACAAATGCAGAAAAAAAGTACTAAAAAGATGCAGCTTTACATTTTTTCCCTCTTCTAATATCAGTAATACTTTATTAACCATTTGTCACCGAGGAAATATAGTGTTCACTTTCATTTTCTTTCAAGAAACGTCTATATATACATGGCTCCACAAGTGATTAGCCACCAAGGCATTAATTAGTTAACTATATGACCTCATCTGATTTTATCTTTCCTTGAATTTTTGGGAAAAATGATTTTTCAAATATTTCTATCAGCAAAGATGCTGTTAGTTTTATTGTAGACCTTATAATTCTAATTGTCATTAATATTAATAATAGAAATATAAATAAGAAGAGAATATTGCCAGAAAAATAAGAAAAGGGTAAACAGACAAGATAAATGAGTCTTTCACAATTTAGTACTTGTGGAGCCATCTATATGACTTGTTAAGTCATTTGACTTTGTGAGCCACTATGTATAAAGGCAATTAATAAACTAAACTTAAAGTGAGCATGGCAAGTCCATATATGTCATCTCCAAAGGAATTGGGTTAAGGAATAAGAATACTTTTATGTTTATACATCTATATGTTTCACACAAATGCAAATGTGTGCGAGTGAATAAGCTAAACAACCTTAGCAACATATGACATTGCTGTCAGTCAATCTTCAAGATTCATTTAGAGCATTATAATAGTAATACCAAATATAAGCTGTTGAAAACAAACACAAACAGAGGACTTCTTCTGGTTATTCTTTCAAAACTGTATTTTCATAGCAATGGGAAACCATGCACTATAGTTCACAGTGACAATATGCACTTTGTCAAAATGATGCTATTGTCAGTTTGACCTTCTTACCTAGCTTTAACCCACTCACTCCATAGTAACACCCTTGCATGTCATGGGTGACCTTACCTTATGCTAGGATGACATCCCATTATGTTATGCACAGATAAGCCTGCTCAAAGTTGTGTGCTAAGCAGGTGTGTGCTGTTTGCTCCTCAAGAGAAAGACCCCAAAAATTAGGCTTAATGCCTATTTTTAAGCTAATTACCTAAATAACTGTTTGTGCTGCAACCATGAGCATAAGGAGCAGGGAAAATTATGCTTTCTATGCTTCTAATTTTTCCTTCGAGCAGATGACTCTGCTTGACCCCTGACACATAGTACAGATTGGTGCTTGAACCTCCCGTCGTGAGTGGGTTAATGTTCCAGTTACATTTGTTTGAAATTTAAGGAGATATCTTGTGTTAGTTGAAAGAAGAGAAAGAAGAAGGAAAAGATACTGATGATTATCAAAACATGAGAGTGATAAAAATCAACATATAAATAAAAGGCACCATACACACGCACACGCACACACACACGCATACGCACACGCACACACACACCATACGCACACATACACCATACACACACACACACACACACACACACACACACACACACACACACACACACACACACACACACACACACACACACACACACACACACACACACACACACACACATGGAGGGGGATGCAAAGGACAAGGGGTGGAAAAGGGTGGGGAGAAGAGGGAAAGAGAGAGTGGGAAGGGAAGAGGAGACAAGGGACAGTAAACCCAAGAGAAAGGTAAGAAGGAAGGAGAAGAGAGATGTGAGATGCTAGAAGAAAGAAGGGAAAAGAGGCAAGAAGGAAGAAGGAAAAAGGGAAAGTAAAGGGGATGCCAAAGGGAAGAGGGATGAAGAAGGGGATGTCAACAGGGCGAGAGAGAAAGAAAGGGCAGCAGAAAGGGAAGAGGAAGTGGTAAAGGAAAAAGAAGTGGAGGAGAAACAGAAAAAGGAAGACATAGAAGGAAGAAAGCTAGAGAAACTGAGAAAGAGGATAAAAGCTTTATATAATTTCCATATATAAAAAAGTATGAGCTATCATTACAAATTTGTCAAAGATGCATTATATATAAGTATGCTCAAAAGACATCAATAATGCAAGGGAATACCCAGTAAAAAAATCTGCATCATAATAGGGAGAATGCAAAATATCGATAAGAAATTATTAGAAACAGGTCTTGCTGCACTCTTCAGAAATCATTTATAAAAATATAAATAAGCCATATGATAAAGTAATAACCTGTAATCTTAATAAACCGATTTCCTGATGAAAAATCATATTTCAAACATTTTACACAATACATCTGCACAAATAAATCCAACTAACCTGATATGCGAGGATTCCCTTAACAGGTGCAGTGGTTCATGGAGGGGCATGGCAAATAAAGCGTGCTTGGGGTTGGTGACAAGGATAATGGGCCATGTGCCATGCGTCACATCCGTAAAAGAAAACAGGCCATGGTCTATTGCTGCTACTCGAAAACTGAAAACAAGTTGCACATAAATCTTTCTTTTCTCTCTTCTTTACTTTTTTTCACTGTAGTTTCCTCTATCCCTATCATGTGAGATAATTTACATTAAATAAAGAAAACTCTGCTAACTTTTTCTTTTGTTAACCACAATACCCAACAATCTATAATTTACATATTTCTTTGTGTTTTTTGATATGGCATACAATTAAGTGTCTTTTTTTTCCTTCCTTTGTCTTGTTCCTTTATTGGCCCTGAGTTGTGGTCAAAAAGATTCACTTGATTTGAATTGTAATACCAGCATAAAAGAAATTAATTCTTTATACAGATAACCTGCATCTACTTTGCAACTCAAAACTGATGCATATATAAGCTGCATGTATATACATAGCCTTTTTTTTTTTTTCATGCAACTCACACATAATAAAAGAATATCTTCCGCTCATTTAACTCTCAGTAAAATAATATTCTTACCAGATAGAAAAAAAACTGAAACCACAAAATGATAATCAATCTAGATTATCCAACCTTCTCCCTCTCCCATTCCCTTTCTCTGTGGGTGCTGTGTGTGTGACGTGTGTGCACACTGCTGTAGTGCTCTATGTGTGTGTGTGTGTGTGTGTGTGTGTGTGTGTGTGTGTGTGTGTGTGTGTGTGTGTGTGTGTGTGTGTGTGTGTGTGTGTGTGTGTGTGTGTGTGTGGTATGAGTGGTGTGTGTGTGGTATGAGTGGTGTGTGTGTGGTATGAGTGGTGTGTGTGTGGTATGAGTGGTGTGTGTGTGGCATGAGTGGTGTGTGTGTGGTATGAGTGTTGTGTGTGTGGTATGAGTGGTGTGTGTGTGGTATGAGTGGTGTGTATGTGGTGTGTGTGTATGGTGTGCGTGTATGTGTGTGTATGGTGCGTGTGTATAGTGTGTGTGTGTATGGTGTGTGTGTATGGTGTGTGTGTATGTGTGATGTATATGGTATAGGTATATGGTGTATGTGTATGGTGTGTGTGTATGGTGTGTGTGTATGGTGTGTGTGTGTGGTGTGTGTGTGTGGTGTGTGTGTGTGTGTGGTGTGTGTGTGTGTGTGTGTGTGTGTGTGTGTGTGTGTGTGTGTGTGTGTGTGTGTGTGTGTGTGTGTGTGTGTGTGTGTGGTGGTGTGTGTGTGTGTGGTGGGTGTGTGTGTGTGTGGTGTGTGTGTGTGTGTGGTGTGTGTGTGTGTGTGGTGTGTGTGTGTGTGTGGTGTGTGTGTGTGTGTGGTGTGTGTGTGTGTGTGGTGTGTGTGTGTGTGTGGTGTGTGTGTGTGTGTGGTGCTGTGTGTGTGTGTGTGTGGTGTGTGTGCGTGGTGTGTGTGCGTGGTGTGTGTGCGTGGTGTGTGTGCGTGGTGTGTGTGCGTGGTGTGTGTGCGTGGTGTGTGTGCGTGGTGTGTGTGCGTGGTGTGTGTGCGTGGTGTGTGTGCGTGGTGTGTGTGCGTGGTGTGTGTGCGTGGTGTGTGTGCGTGGTGTGTGTGCGTGGTGTGTGTGCGTGGTGTGTGTGCGTGGTGTGTGTGCGTGGTGTGTGTGCGTGGTGTGTGTGTGTGGTGTGTGTGTGTGTGTGTGTGTGGTGTGTGTGTGGTGTGTGTGTATGGTGTGTGTGTATGGTGTGTGTGTGTGGTGTGTGTGTATGGTGTATGTGTATGGTGTGTGTGTATGGTGTATGTGTGTATGGTGTGTGTGTGTGTGTGGTGTGTGTGTGTGTGTGTGTGGTGTGTGTGTGTGTGTGGTGTGTGTGTGTGTGTGTGTGTGTGTGTGTGTGTGTGTGTGTGTGTGTGTGTGTGTGTGTGTGTGTGTGTGTGTGTGTGTGTGTGTGTGTGTGGTGTGTGTGGTGTGTGTGTGTGTGGGTGTGTGTTTATGGTGTGTGTATGGTGTGCATGCATGGTGTGTGTATAGTGTGTATGTGTATGGTGTGTGTATGATGTGTGTGTGTGAGTATGGTGTGTGTGTGAGTATGGTGTGTGTGTGTGTATGGTGTGTGTTTATGGTGTGTGTGTGTATGGTGTGTGTGTGTGTGTATGGTGTGTGTGTATGGTGTGTGTGTATGGTGTGTGTGTATGGTGTGTGTGTATGGTGTGTGTGTATGGTGTGTGTGTATGGTGTGTGTGTATGGTGTGTGTGCATGGTGTGTGTGTGTATTATGCGTGTGTGTATGGTGTGTGTGTGTATGGTGTGTGTGTGTGTGTGTATAGTGTGTGTGTGTGTGTGTATGGTGTGTGTGTATGGTGTGTGTGTATTATGCGTGTGTGTATGGTGTGTGTGTGTATGGTGTGTGTGTGTGTGTGTATAGTGTGTGTGTGTGTGTATGGTGTGTGTGTGTATGGTGTGTGTGTGCCTGCATGCACATGGGTTTGTGTTTTCATGTATGTTTGTGTGTATGCGTTTATATGTATGTGTGTTATTGTGTTGTCGTACTTGGTTGTATGCTATGGTGTGTTGTGTTGTGTTGTATCGTGTTGTGTGGTGTGCACATGTACCTGTTTATGTGTCTGAGTGTGTGTGTCTGTGAATACAGATGTAGATGTGTGGATAAATCTCTGTGTATGTGTGTGTGTGTGTGTGTGTGGGGGGGGGGGGGGGGGGGGGGGGCATTAAATGTAGATGCAGATGCAGGTGATGATGTGAGTGAAATAATAAATATAGATGCAATACCTGGTCATGGCACAGTTGTGAATGTGCAGGCAATTCTCTCCATGAAAGTGCACATTTCTTTTAACATGTACAAAGTGAAGAGTCCATTTCTCAGTTACCTAACTTTTCGACTTATATTCTATATGAAAGTAAAATTTCCAAGTCCAGTATGCTTTTTTGGATAAAAAAAAATGCATTAAACATCACAACATAATAATCAAATATAATACCAAACTGTTATAAGTATGAAATATAAAGTATTCCAATAATATTGTAAGCTTTTATTACAGCTTATATTTTCAATCTAAAGCTTAAATATTTCTAATATTCTACCACTTCTATGCTGTCATGCATAATAATCAAAAAGTTTTCTTTCCAAATTACAATGTACAATATGTTCAAAATGCAGGGCCATAGACATGGAGAGAGAAGAGCTTAAAAATTTAAGTAAAAAAAAAAAATTCACATAATAATAATAATAAAACATTTATTCCCTCAGTTCCTCTTTAGTCTAATTAACATTTATTCCCTCAGTTCCTCTTTAGTCTAATTAACAGTTAATCTATATATGTAAAAGGTAAAAAACAAGAATGTTGAATATGGGGAAAAAATCCTTTTCTTCCCTATTTTCTTCCATCACTACTTAAAAAAATACTGTGTATGGCCCAGTCTAGAACTAATGAAGATGAATCCTAGATAAATCCCATCCTATTATTGATTAGAATATTCATCAATAAATTCACTATCTAATAATATCTTGAACATAGTCCTTCATGACTAGTCACCACTGCTTTATGCCTCTCTTTATACTTCAAATTGCTTCACGACAGACATATGAACAATATCATATTAATTTTGGAAACCAATAAATTAATGAAAGCATTCATATTTCTATAAAAATCTTTCGAAAAGTTTATTAGAACTTTGTAGTTTGCCCTTGCTGTAATCAAACCAAACCAGTCTAGCCCATTTCTAGCATGATTACTTACATTCTTCCATCCTTCCAGTCACCTAATTCTAGTTCTAAAGAACCAGTGTGCTGCCTGGTATACATATTTGGTGCAAGTCCTCCTAGGGTGTGTAGGTGACCACAGAGGTATGCCAGCCCGTGGCCCATGACTCGACGAATCCCTGGCTCAGGTGAGAGTATACAAGAGGTCGGATAATGGCCAAACCACACTGAGTAATTACTCTTGCGGCTGGCAGTTTCAAATTCCTGAAGTAGCTTCATTTCTTTGTTCGTGAGCATACCTAAAAATGTAAACTTTTATTATGATCTCTATAGTATAATACTCAACTTCTAATCTAAATAAGCTGTCTTTATTTCATTTTAACACTTTCTTCTAGAAGGAACTGAAAATCAAAATAACTTTGATTCCCATAATATTATATTGCACGATTGGCAAATCCACACAACACATGATCACAAGTCACACAACAAAGATGAACTTACCAATAAAATTAAATGGCCTTTTCGGGCCTGGAAGAAGACAAGCATCAACAGCAATGAAGGCCACTGAATCATATCCATATTTGTGTATGTACATATAAGAGCGCTGGTGACGTTGTCCTTGAATGCTGTAGTTTTGGTAGAAGTTGGCTTCACTAGCCAAGGATGGTACATTAAAGTTGTCTGAAATAATAACATAAAAAATTAGCACTATTAGAATATACTACACTGCATTTGTTATAACTATTATAATAGTAGTAGGAACTAGAATTGTACTATTTTCATAAGAAAGGCTATAAAATCAATACGCTAACCATGATTTCCTCTGATGTCTAGCCAGACAGTGTTATTGAGAATTCCTGAGGTTTGAATAATATCACGATATGTAGCCCACTCTTCTATATACTGTCTTGATCCAAGCATGTCAACAGTTTTGGCATCTGTTAAGTCACCTGAAAATTAAAAATACATTAACTACATTAAATATATCTCTATTTACAGACTACAGAACAAGACTACCAAATAAAAAATAAATGCATTGAAAACAAATACATGTACATACATATCAACATGTGTATGGACAAACAAATTGGCAGATATATAAACAAAAAAATAATGTTTTCAATCTCAATAAAAAACCCAGATATGTGGATCTATAAACTATGCCACATACAGACAAACATATAAACAGATTTCTAGACTGAAACCCAAATCAATACATGAAAAATTCATGAATTGACAGGGATGGGCAAGAATTCAGGGTGGTATCAATACATGCCATGACAATGGTGGCTGTCCTGTTCTACATGATACACAGGCATGGTTTTGTGGCTCTGGCTCTGTTTCCATTAGTTCTCTAGCTCCAGCCTTCAAAACTCTGCATATACCCACGAAAAACAATAATCAGCTAGTCTAGAATCAAAGACAAAAGTGAAAGGGAAACATTTTCTCCACACTTCTAATTTTTGACTCATGTGGGAAGATTGTCATTAGCCCTAACACAGCAGCAAATTAGTTTACAAACCAAATTTTTGATTGTTATCATGTTACATATCAGTACTCATTTTAACAAAAAGGAAAAAAAAAAATACATGAACAAATACCTCTATGAGACTACAATACATAAAACAGTACAAAAAATAGAGATATCAATAAATATTGAGTACTCATTACTCTATGATTTCTTTATCATAGTGGGGTAGTCTGGTGGGGGATGTGTGAAACATCTGTATTAAAGTTTATTACCCATAAATATATTCATGAATTAATTAATTAACATCTAATAATTTTTCATTTTTGGTAAGCTGGTCACCTTACTATCTAACAAAATTTCTACTAGTTTATTTCAAAAATTCAGATTTCTTCAAGTGCTAACAAAAACTTGTAATAATCAGAGCCCTGATGAAAGCATTATAGTAACATGTCACAATTAACCTGTTGGATCTGAGTTACATTGATATCATCTTGAAAAATTTAAATGAGGGGTGGGTGATATGAACATCTAATCATGGAAGAAAATTGGCTGTGGGGCAGGTGACGGGAAATTGGTACTGAGTACTGAGTGATGGGGATATCTTGTCAAGAGTAAACAAAACTCTTGGACTCAAAACTCAATGGGCTTTCAGGAAGCTCCTATGGGATTTCCACTGGTATACAATGATGAATTTTACAATCTGTTAACCATGCCAGGAAGAGAGTCATCTCTAGGGAGAATACTATGTTTGCAAACAGGAACCTATTCCTGCCTGCAGTTACCCATGGTATAAGGTGACTGAACATGAAAATAAAAAAAATAAAAAAAACAGTACAATTAACACAAAGTTACATATTGTTACTGTAAAAGCACAATATGTATTTGCACTGAGCTAATATGAAGTCTGTTCCATGAAAAAGTCTATTATCATACAGAATAACAAATTACAAATACAGACATCAGAAAATGGCAAAACAGCAAATATTCATCTGCAGAAAAAGGGCTCATAGCAGTGCAGAGAAGAAGCAAGGAATCTTGATACACACAGGAGTGTCCATGTGGGCTGGTCCTAAAAGCTACACATCTAGGAAAGTCACCACTCTAAGAACCATAATAATTGGATTTTGGTGCATGGCCACCAATACACCCAAATCCAACAGGTTAATAAATTTTACAACTCTCAGCAGCAAAAAACTTTCAACTCACATTTCTAAACTTACCTGAAGCAAGGACTACTGCAGGTTTCACAGTTTTAACGGTGAAGGAAGCAAACTCCCGTAAATGCACTGAGCGTGTTGGGTCTTGAAATACACTTAAATGCAGGTCTGATACCTAGAATTAAAAATCATGTGTTGATCATCTTGAAATTATTATTTTTTTTTAAACATCAGACATTTTTATGAAATAAAAAAATATCATCCTTGTTTGAGGTGTTTTCTAAAAATAAATAAAACTGTAATGATTATAATGTTACCTATATCTAACATTTCTGTTGTATTTAGAATAAGAAATACTTTCCTTTCCTACACTCATACTTTCTGACATCATTAACCAACCTGCATAAACCACATGAGGTGGTCACTCTCTGCTTTCAGCTGAGGCTGGCTACTCTGGCTGTGTCTATTTGTGTGGCTCTCATGGTCACCAACTGCTTCCTCCACATCCACACTCAGTACGTGGACTACTCGGCCAACCAGTGAGGCACCTCCAAGGACAATAAGCGCCCATACCAGAGTTCCAAGTCCCACACGCATGCTGTGAGATACAAAGATACAAAGAAATTTTTTTTGTTATTTTCTTAGATCATCATTCTTTACAATCTTGGTATTCCAATTACCCTATGGCCTATCTAACTCCATACATGTCACTTCAGTAATCAATAACATTTGTATTACAACAGAAAACTACATATTACATAGCAGTAATTCCCATCTTATTCTAACAGGCTGCCTTAGTGAATATCTTACTGCTATATATATGTATATATATATGTGTGTGTATATATCTATATCTATATCTATATATATATATATATATATATATATATATATATATATATATATATATATATATATATATATATATATATATATATATATATACATATATATATATATATTTATATATATATTTATATATATATTTTTATATATATTTTATATATATTTTTATATATATTTTATATATATATATATATATATATATATATATATATATATATATATATATATATATATATATATATATACATACATATATATATCACCATATGTGTGTGTATGTGTATGTATGTATATACATACATAGATTATATTACATATAATAGTCTACATAAAAATATAGATATAAAGATATATGCATATCCATATAAATACACATATAAACTAAATAATTATTCATGTTTATATATATACATACATACATATATATATATATATATATATATATATATATATATATATATATATATATATATATATATATACATATATATATACATATATATATACATATATATATACATATATATACATATATATATATATATATATATATATATATATATATATATATATATATATATATATATATATATATATCACTACAAATAAATATAAATAAATATAAATAAATACAAATATAGATATATGCATATCCATATAAATACACATATAACCTAAATAATTATTCATGTTTATATATATATATATATATATATATATATATATATATATATATATATATATATATATATATATATATATATATATATATATATCAATACAAATAAGAATAATCTGTGCACTCACATTTTTGTATTATATTACATAAATCTGTAGAGCCAATCACATCAGATACAAGGACAATGTTACAGAGTTTCATATCTGTTTACTTTATGCCTTATTCAGTTAATGAACTAATAGAAAGTATGAATGCTACATCAAGATTAATCACTGAACCAGTGAAATACAATACATAAATACATAAAAGACATATTTAACACTTATAACAATGCACTGATGTAAAATATAAAGTAGTGGTTGATGTTTCCCTGTCAGAATCTTGAGGATAAAAAGCAGAAACTAATAACTTTACCTTCAAATTAAATACTTATTTGATGAATTTAAATAGACAGGCATATAACAAGTTTATTACAATAGCAACATTCAGAGTTGATAATCTTACTGCAATTTCTCATATATATTTGATTATATGTCAGTGTTATTTTGTGTGCTTTGTTCCTTGTATCGATATCTTGTACATTTGGAGTTTTTCATAAATTCTAATTCAAGTTGTCACCATTTCAAAATATTCAGATCTTTAACTTAATTGCGGAATACATACTCCAAGATTATTTACAAGCTGAAGACTACTCATTTTTAACAAGACTTTCAACATGACTGTATTTGGTATTACGATTAATCTCATAGGATTATCACGATGACTGAAACATCAAATTCGATTGATTATTAATCACATCGCTATTTCTCTGTCTAAAGCCTGTCTGAAGCTAGTTTCAACCTCTAGTCACCCGTAATTCCAAAGTCACATTCACTATCTAAATTCATCGAAATCTGAGTGTATAATCCCTGTCATCTCACCTCTCTACGTGGAAAAGCCGCTCAGCTTCTCGACATGTTATGGATCCGATGAGATGTTAGGAGATGAAGAGTGGTAAATCTCGGACACACGGAGAAAATGAGAGCTAGCCAAAGTAGCCAAATTTTAAAAGATATTACAGAGATGAAAAGATAACTAGCCAGATTTTACGGATATTAAAGAAGAAAAAATGAACAAGCTAACGTAGTCATGATTCTGCAGGTATTACAGATGAAAAAGAACTAGCCAATGTAGCCAAATTTTACAGATATTACAGAGGTGAAATAGAACTAGCCAGTGTAGCCAAAGTTTACAGATATCACAGAGATGAAAAGAGAACTGGCCAATGTAGCCAAAATTTCAAAAATTAAAATAAGAATTAAATGTGGCCCTTTTTGTTAATGCTCACAAACAAGCTTTGCGCTGTATTTGTTTTTTAATTTTATTCATTCATCAGAAAATTAGTTTCTCGTCAAATGGTTCAGGAAAAACGCAAGGAACGTATAAGTTTTTGTATATTATTTTGACGTTCAATATCTATATGGAACCTCCATGTATTGCTTTGCTCATAAGTTTAATTACTGATATTTATCCAGCATGTATTTTTAACATTTGTGGGGTATGGGTCGATAGTCCCATCGAAACATTATTGATTTATCTCAGCGAATTAATGTGTTATTGATATACTATATAATGCGCTAATGGGAAAGTCCAAAGTGGGCTTTATCGATGCAGTTTATGAATATCATTTTATCAAAGTACTTGTATTTACCCTATTCTCAGCGAATGTAAACTAATGTCTGTTACTTATATTTTGCTTGTGGATGTGTAATGGTAATGGTTAATGGTTAAAGCCAAAGGAGTGTGGTAGACACCAAAGGTCATATAGCACTATAGAATGGTTTAGTAGGGAAAAAAGCGTAATAGTAGATACCTATATTTGTACATATTCCAATCGCAGTCCACTAGACACAGGTTCAAACAGAAAATATATATTCATTGAAAGAATTACAAAAACATTATTTTACCTTGTCTCTATTCAAATATATCAGTTCGACCTCAAATCACATTCTGTAAGTATATCAATCGGAAACTATTTTTTGGCTAGTTTGGCTACTTCGATGAAAAGATGGCAAGTTTGCAGTCCCTTATTTTACCGGTTAGTTTGTTAGCTTTGCGCAGCTGTAGAGAAATCGTGCGTCAGCCAACGGGGAAATTCTTGGCCTGGGTCGCAGCTGTCGTACGAAATAAGAATGAATAATTCGATGTCATGTCAGGTTACTATTCATTCATGTGTTTTGCTTTGAGTACTAGATGTTGAGATATTGAAAGCTGGCAACTGATAAGGGACCTGTAGTATAGCGGCATCGTATATATGCCATGTCTACAAGCTATGATAATATGCAGATATACAGTGGACGGTAAATATGACATAGTATAGCCGTATGTCTATTTGTGGAACTCTTCATTGTTAGCCATTTTATATTTACCAATTACATGCCATTAGTCCACACAACCCGTGTTCTAGCCCGTCATTTTAGATCAGTATAGTTTCCCTGATATGGTGGACTATAAACGCAAGGTTAGATGATAAACCACTGAAAAATGAAAAAAGAAGAAGAAAAAAAGTGCCAGAGTACATAGTAACACGCGCATAAATTCTTACATACCAGTTTCTTTATACCAAGCAGATATATACAGAAACAAGGTTAAGTAGGCATAAAGAATAAATCCCCTTTATGATTCGAAGGGATGAGGGCCATGTCTATTTAAAGGACTTATCCCACGACCGGCATTTTGGGTCGTAGTCTACCCTCTCGTCCTTTTGATATGTCTTGTTTCCAGGTGTATAATTCACCCATTTGTAATCTAATGAAATTTGATATATTCTTTCGCAACTGAAATGAGTCAGATACGACCAGTCACCTTATCACGGGCTGTTCTTTACTCCTTTGCGATATATTAGGTTATATACAGCCAGCCTCCAGTGAGCCTCACCGTACAATGTTGTTTAATCTTTCAAAATAAAACTATATCGTAGATGACTACACCTCATGATCCATATTTTATAGCTTAATTAGTCAACAGTTCCCATGACCTTTTCAAAGAACTTTCTTCATTCATTCACAAATACGTAATTACGTAATTACGTAAAGAATGACCAGTCTCCATAACCTATAATACTGGTTGTCTCTTATTCCTATGTAACTGAAATAACCCGATTCGAGCAGTTTCAGTAACTCACATATCCTGGCCTTTAGTTCATTTTATTGTATTATGATTATGCGAAACACAACTTGTCCTCATTACCCGTAACAAAGGTCGTTCTCTGTTCCCTTGCAATCAAATTAGCTCAGATTATGTCAGTTCCCATGACCTGTACCAAAGGACATTACTCCGCTGCAACCGAACTAGACCAAATACGACCATTCCCCATGACCCATACCGTAGTGCTACACCCAGACCCCACCACTCATACCGTAGTGCTACGCCCAGTCCCCATGACTCGTACCGTAGTCCGTCCTCACACCGCCATCTATCGGCCACGCGAGGAAGCACGCGATGTAAACAAGCCAGAAATATCGACCGAGGGGAGGAAGACAGACCTTAGCCTTAAAACCTTCCGGTGCCTCGTAAGTTGCCCCTCAAATGAGTCTGTCGTCAGCCAAGAAAGCATACATCTGTGAATGCTGAGCCCCCCTTTTGGTTAGTAATTGTTGACTGTAATTATCGGAGAAGAGATATAGGCGAGCATTAATAAAATTTCTTGCCGTTGCTTTGACTTCAGACTAAGATTTTCGGGAATAGATATCAGTATCGGCCAAGCGTTACTCTAACGTAATAATAGATATGGTTAAGTTGTTTTATTACCGAGTTAGAGTAGACTTTGTAAGCTCCTTTGTCATTGTATTTCATGTAAAAATAACAATCAATGTAACTGTAAGATATAGATACTATAATAGACAGGAAAATGTTACAAACTCTCGAAGTTAAATTTAAACTCCACTTCCTGTGAATGTTGTAGTAGTAATTTCTAGATCTGGTGATCATTTCCTTTTCATTCAGTAACAAGAATCCTGTTTGGAATATGTATTATAAATAGTTTACAATCACATTTTATTAAGGATGAGTAACCTAGAAAGTTCCTGGTTTCTTTGGAAATGATGCCTAACACCAATAATAAAGGATCTGACCTTGCTATCCAAGAGAATGTAACATTGTAAGATACTTTTCTTCTATAACATTTCCTTCACAAACTAAAAACAAGGGTAATAAAGAAGATGAATAACTAAAAAATTCCAGGCACTCCATGATATGTACTCTTCCAATGGTGAAAGAAAATGGTACAAAATTGAAGAGGTAATGAAACAATTGAACAGAATTGTAACGGATGATATAAACGAGGGAAATCAAATGAGCCATTGGGAATTGCACTTGGCTGTGACAAGATAATAGAAACTAGTAACCAGTCAGTTAGAGCCAATAAGATTTATAATAGACAATCACTTGACAATAGAAGCTGGACCCAAAGAAAATCAGTTGAAATTCAAATCAGTTCCATCATGGCTAGGCTGTATAAGTTGCTGTTTTGCCTTTAACATCCTAAATATCATGGTAATAATGAAAATGATTGGCTCATAGTGGTGGCACAATTCCTGCCAACAGCAACAATGAAGATTTTGATGGCTTGCAGGCTGGCCATTGTAGATGTATTGAACAAGATAAGAAATTATTTGTGTGAGATCCAGATATTTGTCCAGGCACTATCCTGCTGGAACATGAGGTTAAGATTTTGTAGACCAGGCAGGGGATAGGGGGCGAAGCCTCCCTTGAAAGGGGGTCAGGGGACGAAGCCCACCCTAGTTACTATGAATGTGTTTTGCAATAACTAAATTCATGAGAGGTTTACTTCAGTCATTTGCTCTTAACCCATCACGCCCAGCAGAGTCATAACGAACCGCTCGGTCTGCATGGTACGGCTGTATGCTGCAGTGATGCACCAGAGCGCTTGTAGTGGGTTGTTTGGCTTGATGTAATGGACTCCCACATCCAGAGTTTGCTTGTTGCCATTAATTTCCAGAGAGTAAAATTTTATTTATTTTCTTCATCTGTCAAAGTTGGGTTAACCTGCAATTTCCCAGGTACTTATGCCCTCCCCATCCTTGCCAATATCATAGCTTTCAGAAAAAAAAATAATTTTCAACTAGAAATCAGTATTAGGCATCATTTTCAAATTTACTGAGTTTTCATTTATGATTTTCTTATCTAAGCTGAGCAATCCAATGGAGGAACCAGGTAACAGTGCATTCAAGGAAAGGGGACAAAGCTCACTAAAGATTAAAAAAAACATTTCCATGCATAACTAAAACAGCTCAATAAAATACTCATACATATCACTTAGAATGTAACTTTTTAAGTATACATTTACATAATGACATGAATGACTGCATAGACAAAATATGATGTCAGAAATGAAGAAAATAGATTGTGTCAAATGCAGTATGGAGTTTCATTCCATGGCAATTGGTGAGGTCCAGGTACATAGCCCCAGGTATGGAAATATGACAGTGGGTGGGTATCTGAGGCTGGAACTCCCAGGTTATGAGGGATTTTGGTTCATATGGCAATGTTTGTTGATGTTAGTTGGTTACTTGGTGTAAGTTCAGGTAATAGAAGCTCATGTGAGGGCTATCTAGGGGGACTGCCTAGGAAAGTGCTAAAATTTAAAACCATTAACTATATCATAAGTTGGGTTCACATAAATACATAAATGAAAAAATAAACTGAAACTTGGCTTGAATGTTAGAAATTTTTGAAAGCATGTTCAATGAGCTGATACTCTAAACTAAGAAATCAACTTGAAGCAACACTAATAAGTATAAATAATTAATCTGCAGAAGGTAAAACGAAGCTCATAATCACTTTTCTGAGTCTGCAGTTCTAATTTAAACAGCCAAGTCTCCATGCAGCTCTTGCTTTATCTTTGAACCTACTCAGTAATGCTTTTCAGGTATACAAGGATTCAAACTCTTTGGTCATCAGGAAAAT